CCAGTTCCAAGCTCAGAAATGAGATTCCGATCTCACATCTCACAAACGCTTCCAGAGCTACAGACTTGCTCTGCACAAGATCTGGAAGCTTTGTGGTTTCTGTCAAATTTTCTCTGCAGACATTCTGCTGAAATCTCCGCAATTTCCCGATGTTTATCAGAGGTTCTTATCAATCTTCAATGCTGACGCTCGCCTGAGATCTCCGTGATTCAGTGTTCCTTAAAAGCTTCAATGCTGACACTTGCTTGAGATCTTAGTGATCTCCCAGTGTTCCTTGAAAGCTTCAATGCTGACACTCGCTTGAAATCTTCATGATCTCCCAGTGTTCCTTGAAGAAAGATTCCGGTCTCACAACTTGCTCCGTGCAAAAAACTAAGCTCCGCGCTTATCTTATCTCTGGCTCCGCGCCTTTTTACTCTTGTTCATCACGAGTTCTTACTCGTTCTTCAACAATCTCTTGTTCAATCTCGTCTACTGACGTTAAAACACAAATCTCTTGTTTATTTTAGAAAAGACGGCAATTGAATTGTCCTTTTCACCCTTGTTCTTGTTACCCTTTTTGGAAGTCAATCTAATGGATCAATGATTTAAATGCTTCGGTGTGACTTTGATCCAGTCCCCACAAATCGCTCTGATCCCTTTTACTTTTTCAACCTAGTTTCTTTGTCAATTTCAGCAAATTGACTGGCACGCCCTCATGCTGTCATTAAGTAGTTTTCGCAGAAACTCTTCCAAGAGATTTTTTGCGCAACAGGTTCATTCTTTTGCATTCAGCCAGTTCAAAATCCACCAAAAAGCTAAGGTATAATAGATTTATGGCTGTTGCAATATATGTGAGTGTCTCAAGTAAAGAAGATTATTAACAATAAGGAAACATTTTAAGATATGAAGGGATAAGAGTGGTTAGTTCAAGTATAACTATGTTTTGAGTTTAATCTTCTCATTTTGCAATCACATGTCCGGGTTTGGTTCATTGTTGCAGGAAATGGACCTAAAAGAGTGCAATTTGAAGAGATGAGAGAACTGTCATTAACATGATTAAGTGCATGCGAGGCTGCTCACTCTATCTGTCCATGGTACACATCTCAGCGTTAGTCTTTCCAGCATCTCTAGGGCCTTTTAAATGGGTAGGTCTTAATGGATCATTCAATCCACTTGCAACCACTTATCTATACTATATATAAAAGTACGAATAAGGGGAAACTTTATGTTTTCCGATTGTACCCTTATTTTTAAAACATATTTCCAGTTGTACCCTTTTCTTTAAAACATATTTCTAAATTGCCATTACTAAATAATATTTTAATTATTCCATTATTTTTTAAATCTTAATTATATAATACGTGTATTAAATTATAAGAAAGTCAATTTGGCTTTTTGGTTCCAACGTCCTATTTAATTTTGCCTTTTGTCTTTGTTTCCAATCGTTGTATTTAATTTTGCTTTGTCTTTGGTCTTAAATTTCCATTACTAAAATTTAGTATAATTTTATTATTTAAAAATTAATTAAAATTTTCAATTTAGACCGAATTATAAGTTTGTCAAATTGATTTTAGTTGATGAACATCCAAATTTCCTTACTATTATTTTTTGAATTTAATATTTTACTTTTAATTTCAATTTTTAAATGTCAATAAAAAGATTAAACTAACACTAACACGTACAGTACTATTGTTAGTGAAGCTCCATCTCTTCGTTATATAATGTTTTGCCGCATTCACTTTGTTCAATTGGAAATTGTTGAGTTAGAAGAGTAGGTGATATTGTGATTTTGATTTTCTTGTCTCTATGTGATTATCAAAATTTTATAAGATGGTTATTACAATTTCATGAGGAGGTTATCAAAATTCCATAGTGTGGTTACCAAAATTTCATAGTGTGGTTACCAAAATTTCATAAGATCAGGTTATTAAAATCTCTTTGGTTGGTTATTGAAATTTCATAAGGTGGTTAATTGTCACAATTTTACAGAAAGGTTATCAAAAAGATTATCAAAATGTCATAGCGAGATTATAAGAATTTCATAGTGTGGTTAACAAAACATCATTAAATATTTCATAGGGAGGTTATCAAAATTTTATAGTGTGGTTATCAAAATTTCATATGAAGGTTATAAAAGTCAATTTCATAAGGAGTACCAAAATTTGATAGAAGGTTATCAAATCTCATAGAGTGATTATCGAAATTTCATAGAGATCGGATTATCAAAATTTATAGAAAGATTATCAAAATTTCATACTGTTGTTATCAAAATTTCAAAGCGAGGTTATGAAAATTACATAATGTGATTATCAGAATTTCATACAGGGGTCAACAAAATTTTATAAAGAGGTTATCAAAATTTCATAAAGAGGTTATCAAATTTTCAAAATGTGATTACAAAAAATCCATAGTGGTATTTCTGGGGAGGTTATCAAAATTTCATAGTATGGTTACTAAATTAGGAAGGTTATTAAACTTTTATTATGGAGTAATCAAAATTTCAAGGAGGATATCAAAATTCAGGGAGGATATCAAAATTTCATAGTTTAGTTTTCAAAATTTCACAAGAGGGTTATCAAAATTTCATAGTATGTAGATCAAAATTTCATAGGGAGATTAACAAAATTTCATAATGAGGTTATCAAAAAGTCATAGGGAGGTTATCAAAATTTGTGGTTATCAAGATTTCATAAGGAAGTTATCAAAATTTTATAGGCAGGTTTATCAAAATTTTATAGAAAGATTTATCAAAATTTCATAGCGAGGTTATCACAATTACATAGTGTGATTATCAAAATTTCAGAGTGTGATTACTAACAATTCATATGGAGGTTTTTAAATTTTCATAACGTGGTTATCAATATATCATATGGAGGTTATCAACATCTCATAGTGTTGATTATCAAAATTTCATTAGGAAGTTATCAAAATTTCATATTGAGATCTTCAAAATTTCTTAAGGAGGTTAACTAAATTTCATAAGAAGATTAAAAAAAATTATAAAAAGGTTCTCGAAATTCCATAATATCGTCATTAAAATTTCATAAGAAGGTTATCATAATTTCATAATTGAATCATAAAAAATAGTGTAATTATTATAATTTAATAGAGAAATTATCATAATTTCATATGAATATTTTATTTAAACATGTTATGCCAAGTGCAACGCACATGAAAGTTAAAACTAGTATCAAATAAAAGGATGTATTTTGGTTTATGCCTACTGAGTTTGCCAAGAAACAATAAAAAATGGTGGTGGAAAGTGGAGAAGGCATTGTATTATAGAGTTGAATAAGAAACTCATTTTATTTTTCCGTTTCTTATAGAATTTGGTGTCAAAAGAATGTTAGGGACTAATATAGGGATTTAAGGAATTAGTGTGGTTATCTCCTGATAGAATGGCCATCAATATCCCTGGAATTTCTTGGGTTAAATTTGAGTCAATCTAGCTCTTAAAGATACAGACAATCACGGTATTATATGTTTTGAACTACATCTATTATGTTAACCTTTGTTTGAGACATACAAACTTTTAATGTTTATTATGTTCATAATATTGTAGTAGGCAGATGTTTCAAAGTTCAAAATGCTATTTAACATAGTTTGATCATATCAAAACTTCTCACTACAGAAAAAGCATGGATTAAGCTTTTATTTGTTCACACTTTCGAACTTAGGCTGTCCGTGCAGCGAAGCGCGCAGGGGCTGAAACTTAGTATGGCTAATTGTTTTAATTAGTTTCTACTATTTTATATTTCAACTTAAGTTTTCCAATTCGGATTTGGGAAACACTTTTTTTAATTGTCTTGCATTGCATACCATAACTTGGAAAAAGTCGTTCGATCTCCTTTCTAGAGGGTTCATTTCTTAATTGCCCAATTGAATATTTTAAAATGATAGGTATAAAAAATCTTTATTTCTTCTCTTTTCTTTTTAATTACAATTTTTGATAAAATGGTCTAAAAGTAAATATTATATGTATAGTAGTAGTATAAAACAAGGTTCTTACCCGCGCGCTACGCAGCGCGGATGACCAATTTTTTTACACATATATATTTGAATTGAGTATAAATAATGCACAAAAAAAATCGATACATGTTAACCTGTGTTACCTAAAATGTTATGTACATTACATATAAAGCTCAAAGGTTCCAGAAATCCAAAAACAACCTATCAACTATAACCTGTAAAGATCACAATGGCAAATTAATAAGATCTTCATATCTTGGACTGAGCTAGAAAAAATTCTTGGTGATGTTACTATCCTGTAACATGAAAAAAGATTGTTCATTATTTAGAGGAACCATCAAGTTTAATCTCATTAGACCTTAGTTTTTGGTCTAACAAAAACATACAGTAGCTTCCGGCCTAAATTTGTAAAAGGAAGATTCAAAGTAAACAGATTGGTCTCAAAAAAGAAGGCCAACTAAAATTTTATAAAAAATGGACCATAAAAATGAAACTAATAATTCACCTTTCTCCCACTCTTAGCATGAGATTGTTGAATGAAGAATCCGTGAAAAGCAAAAATAGGTGCAACTACTTTTAGCTGAAGCCTATGTCACATAAGAAATTCAGCTAAATTCAATCAATCCAGTAAACAAATATCCACATACTATGTCAGTTGCAAATATTACATGCATCTTGAGATTGGAGTGGGGGAAAAGGTAAAAAGCAACCTTAGATACAACCTTAGATAAGCAGAGCATGTCAAGTCCTAAATTATCTATGTGTATAACAAAGGTATGTAGCCAAACCTCATATATTATCTGAAGTCTCTACTCTCAAGGAATCAAACTCCAACCAATCCTGAAGTCCTAGCTAGCAATTTCCCGCACGCGCTATGGCACGCGCTGGGAATTTTCTCTGTCATAAAGTTTGTTTTTTTCTCGTTTTTCTGGGAAACAACCGATCTTCTTGATCGCTCCTCATCTTTTTCTACCAATTTCGTTCCATTTCCCTCTCCTTATCCTTTTCTCTTTGATTATTCTAGGGCCTTTCTTTGTTTTCTTCAATAGATGTCTACATGTTCTCCAGATTGTTCCATTTCTTGACCTCCATTTCACTTTCTTTCGTGTCTGTTTGTTTAATTTTTTGGTGTTTCTTGTTTTGCTAGGTTTGCTTTCACTCCTTGGGGAATCAGGCACTGGAATCCCGCCATTGTCAGGGACACAGAGAGGACGCAGTCGAAAAGGCGTTCCAGATTCTAGGTTATACAGTCTGTTCATGGCCGATCTTGGGGAATCTCAGGGGGGTGTCGCGGATGAGTTGATAGTGGAATTAGAGGTTTCCAGAGAAGAAATCCAGGCGACAACCGAATATGGTTTAATCGGGAAGGTTATTGTGGATCGCATCTTAAATAAAAGAGGAGTGATGAATGTATTACAAGCGATATGGCCGATTAAGGTTCTCCAAAGAGTGTTTGATCTTGGCCCTAATCTGTATGGATTTTCCTTTGCTGATCGCAAGAGTATGGAGCTGGCTTTATCTTGTGGTCCATGGACGGTGATAGGCTATTGTTTGTGCTTGCAGCGATGGGATGCTTCCAAGGCAGTAACTAAGATCCAATTTAACACAGTCAATTACTGGGTTCAGGTACATAATCTTCCTCTTGAGTTTATGACCTATAATAATGCTAAGAAGATTGGGGAAAATCTGGGATCTATTCTGGAGATCGAGAATCCTGACTGGGTTAGAGGTTATGGAAGAAGTTTCATTCGGATTAGAATAGCTGTGGATTTAAAAAAGCCATTGATTAGCAGGTTTAAAGTGCCTAGAAGTATAAGAGTGTGTTTGGATTAGGATTTTCAAGAAGGATTTTCATTTGAATAGGGATTTTGTAAAATCTAAAAATAGAATTCTTTGTTTGGCAAGAAATTAGTTGGGTTTTTAGATATCCAAAGAATTTGGATAGGGATTTTTAGAGGGCCCAAAACCTCTCTTCAAAATCCTTCCCCAATGGTGGTTTTTCAAAAATCTTTGTCTTTTTAACTAACCACCCATATTTATTAACTTTCCTTTTTCTTCATACCATTTTTATTTTTATAACTTAAATGATAAAAACTTATTCTTAAAATATATTTTTTCACTCTCACATTTTATTAATAAAATCTATATATTTTTACAAATCTAATGACACCCATATTGCATATTTTTCGATTTTAATATTATTTTCTATAATTAATTTTTAATTTTATTTTAAAATTTCAAAATATCTTATGATTTCTCCCTAAAAATTATGTATCCAAACTAAGTAATTTAAAAGTCATCTTTTCAAATATATAAACTTTAAAATCCTGTCTTTTGAAAAGTCTTAAAATTTTAAAAAATCTTCATCCAAACACAACCTAAGTGATTCCATCGTTGCTGAAGTCAAATATGAGAAATTAGGCGATCTCTGTTATAATTTTGGTATGCTGGGTCATGGTGATAAAAGTTGTGAGAGAGTTGTTAAACCTGATGGGATAGAGAATGGTAAGTCCAGATATGGACCTTGGATGAGAGTTGAACCTGTCAGGGGCTCTAGAAAAGAGGAGGAGGTGAAAGTTGTGCAAGAAAGAGCAGTTCCTGAATTGCCTTATGAACAAATGGAAGCAATAAAAAATGGAAGAGCTGTCCCTGAGCTGACCCCAGAAGAATTTGAAGCTTTCAGGGCTGCTAAGGAGAATTGCAACCCTACTAAACCTGGTAATGTAAGGAGAAATTTGTTCAAAGGAAAGGAGAAGTATGATAGGGAGGCACTTCAAGAGTTAAATCCTGCTTCTAAGCAAAGTGGAAAATCCCTATCCAATTACCATACCCATAACAAGTCTCCTAATTCAGATCACTTTAAAGCTCCCTCTTCTAGCACCAATCCTAATACAACTTCTATTCTTACTGAACTCCACCAGATTCCCTTTGAAAACCCTTCCAACTGTCTTACTCCAAAGAAAAGATTAATTGGAAATAACTCTTCCCTCACTCTTGAAGATCAATATTCTCTTACACAATCCCCATCAAAGAAACAACACAACTTATCTGTTACACAATACTCTCATCAATCTACTCCCCCTCTTCACTCACCTACTTCATCCCACATACAGTTCCCTATGGTAAACTTAATCCACACTCCATCTCCAAAGAAAAGAATAGTCTCACCCATACCCATTTCTCTCCATGAAAACCAAACACAATATATACCTGACATTACTTCATCACCTGCTAAGAGATTACATACATTTCCTGTTACTATTATCACAGATCAAAAAATCCATTATCAATCTTCTGAAACCCAACAAGGCTTACCTATCTTTGATGAATATATGGTGGAACCTCCTGATGAGGAAGATGAGGCTGAGGAGCCAAAAGGTAATCAGGACCTTGAAACTGTTGTAGAAGAAACTATAAGCCAGCAATTAGTGCCTGTCCTAAGAGGTTTATCTCTAAAAAGGCAGTTCCAACTAATAGAATGGGAAGAAGGCCAGGGGGAGAGAATGAAGGCCAGGCAGATTGAAGCTAATGAAACAAGACAGAAACTCTACAATGAGGAAATAGTGGTGAGAAGGTTAGAAGAAGTGCAAAGTTCTATAAGTGTGGATAAAGAAATCCAAATTCCTAAAGGAGTATCAACTAGGAGGGTTCAAAGGAAAAACAGAATTGTAAAAAGAAGGGGAAAGAAGAAAGAAGAGAGTGTGATGATCTTCGAACAGAATAGCCTCTGGGAAGTACCAATTTTAGTAAAAAGTGTTATAGGTAATGAGTTCACTGCTAGCAGCTACAACCTGAGAGGTTCTGGTGACTGTTGTGGGACAGTCACCAAGCCAATATGAGGCACATTTCATGGAACTGTCAAGGCATTGGGCCAGCCTTGACAGTAGAAGCTCTACATGAGCTTAAGAGAGACTATAGCCCTCAGCTGATGTTTTTAATGGAAACCAAAAACAGGGAGGATAAGCTGGAAACATTAAGAAGAAAACTAAGGTTTAATGGAAAGTTTTATGTTGAACCGGAAGGTATTGGTAGAGGTCTAGCATTATGGTGGAATGAACAAATATCAGTTGAGTTAATAGGATTCTGTAAATACATGATTGATGTGATTGTTAAAGATGAGGAGAATGACAGTACTTGCAGGATTTTCTGGGTTCATGGACCCACAGATTTTGAGGAGAGACAGTTTATATGGAATATGATTGTGGACAGAGGGAAAACTGTGGAAGGCCCTTGGATGTGTGCTGGCGACTTCAATGACATATTGTATCATCATGAGAAAGAAGGAGGCAATCTAAAAGCAGAGAGAAAGATTAAAGGTTTTAGAAGTATGATAGAGAGAAGCAGCCTCATTGATCTGAATTATCATGGGCAGAAATTCACATGGATCAATAGGCGGGATAACATGCTTATTAAAGAAAGGATAGATCGAGCCTTGGTTAATTTGGATTGGATGGAGACCTATCCCAAATCACAGGTCTTCAACCTTCCCATCATAGGCTCAGATCACAGCCCGCTGCTTATAGACACAAATGTAGTGGATGGCAAAGCTACTAAGCTGTTTAAATTCGAGGTGATGTGGACCGAAAGCCCTGAATGTAAAATGGTTATTAAAGATGGCTGGAGTGCTGAGTTTAATGGATCCAGAAGTTTCCAACTTGTCCAAAAGCTTAAGAAGTGCAAGAGGTTGCTTATTGACTGGAGTAGGAAAGTTTTTCCCAATAACAAGAAGGCTATTGATGAGCTGAAGAAGAAAGTGGCCGAGATTCAGGACAAAGATGTTTCTGAGCAGTGTTGTGCAAAAGCTGAGGAACTGATCAAGGAGATTGGGAACCTGTGGAAAAGGGAGGAGCAATACTGACATCAAAGGTCTCGGGTTAAATGGTTGAAATATGGGGATGACAACACCAGGTTCTTCCATCAAAGTACGATTCAGAGAAGACAACGCAATAAAATTCTGAAGTTGAAAGATAGTAATGGTGATTGGATAGAGAATGAAGAAGATATTCAGCAGCTTTTTAAAGAATTTTACTCGGACCTTTTTCGGTCAGATGGAAACTCTGAAGAGGTGCTGGACTGTATTCCCAATCTGGTTTCTGATGAAATGAATGACAAACTGACAGCTGCTATTACAGAGGCGGAAATTGAAACAGCCACCTTCGAGCTTGGCACTTTTCAAGCACCTGGACCAGACGGCTATAATGGGGTGTTTAACCAAAAATACTGGAGTATAGTGAAGGAGGCTGTCATCAAAGCTGTCAGGGGTTTTTTCGAAAGTGGAAATATGCTTAAGGAAATTAACACAACAAACTTAGTAGTGATTCCAAAGGTGAAGAAACCAGATGAGGTTGGCCAATTCAGACCCATAGGCTGCTGTAATTTCATTTATAAGGTGATTTCTAAGGTGCTTGTGAATAGACTGAAACCTTTTATGGATGACCTTATTACTCCTAATCAGAGTGCTTTCATAGCCGGCCGTCAAATCCAGGATAACATCATTATTGCCAATGAGGTCTTTCACTACTTGAGACTCAAAAAGAAGGGGAAGAAAGCTGATATGGCTTTGAAAATTGATATGAACATGGCATATGATAAAGTGGAGTGGGGTTTTCTTGAGGCGGTCATGAACAGACTGGGTTTCGCTAGAAGATGGGTACACTGGATTGTAGAATGCGTCAGCTCTACGTCTTTCAACATACTTTTCAATGGAAAGCGGTCAGATGTTTTTTTCCCATCTAGAGGTCTCAGGCAAGGGGATCCTCTATCCCCTTACCTCTTCCTGTTTGTCATTGATGTCCTCTCGAGGATCATCAATAAATCCTTGGAGTCCGGAACAATCACAGGTATTAAAATAGGAAAATTTTGCCCTAGTTTAACCCATATTCTATTTGCTGATGATTCATTGTTTTTTATGAGTGCTAACACACAAAATTGCACAGAATTCATATGTATTTTACAAATATATAGTGCAGCATCTGGACAAGCTGTGAATTTTGAAAAGTCTTGTGTTGTTTTTAGCTCTAATACTAATGAACAGGTTCGAGAGGAGTTAGCTCAATTTTTGCAGATTCCAGCAGCTGAACATCCTGGCACATACTTGGGAATTCCATCCTTTTGGGGGAAGACCAAGTGTGAGGCAATGAAATTCATCAAGGAGAGGGTGGTTCAGAAAGTTAAGGGTTGGAAACAGAACCTGTTGACTCAAGCTGGACGGGAAATCCTTATCAAATCAGTAGCTACGGCGGTTCCACTCCACACTATGCAATGCTTCAAAATCCCAAAAAGAATTTTTGAGGAGGTAAATAGAGTAATGGCAGATTTCTGGTAGGGCCAGGTGGGAGATGAGAAGAAGATGCATTGGATTGCGTGGACAAAGCTGACTGAAAGCAAAATGAAGGGAGGCATGGGCTTTAGGGACTTACATGTTATGAATTTGGCTTGCTTAGCCAAACAAGTATGGAGACTCATTGAACAACCAGATGCACTTTGGGCCAAGGTAATTAAAGGATTATACTATCCCAATGCCACAATTCTTACAGCTAGGAAAGGGGGTAAAGCATCTTGGACTTGGACTGCCATGTTAGAAGGTAGGGATCTGATAGCGGCAGATATACATTGGCAAGTCAGAAATGGGGCAAGCATTAACATATGGGAAGAAAAATGGATTCCAGAGCTTTGTAAGATTGAGAGGAAGAATGGGGAAGTCCTGCCTGAGGATACTCCATAAAAAGTTGCAGAGATACGAAATAAGGAAGATAGAAGTTGGCAACTGGACAGCATTAGAGCTTTGATAATGGACAAATCAGCTGATGCCATAGAGATGATACCCTTGGGCTCGGAAATGAAGGAGGATAGACTGATATGGCCCTTCAACAGTGATGGAAGATATAGTGTAAAATCTGGATATCACTCAGCCAAAGATCAAATGGAAAAGCAAGCCAATAGAAGCTCCTCTAGCTCACATATTGTTAATGATAATGTATGGAGATCAGTGTGGAAAACTACAGGACCAAATAAAGTCAGAAATTTCTTGTGGAAAGCCGTCATCAACAGACTTCCAACTGCAGAAGGTTTATGGAAGAGAAGAATTAATAACAGCCCAATGTGCCCTATTTGTCAACAAAAAGAGGAGACTACAGAGCATGCACTACTACTTTCTGACTGGACTGAAAAAGTGTGGTTTGGCATGGACTTTGGATATAAGATTGACAAGAGGGCCATCACCACTTTCGATGCTTGGTTTGAAAAAGTAATTCAGAATGCAGGGGGTAATAAGTTAGATTAGAAGAAGTTTCAGATGTCTGTAGCTCAGGTTTTATGGAACATATGGAAGGAAAGATGCCGAAGCATCCATGAAAACAAAGCTCCCGATCCCCTGTACACAACCCAAGTATCCCAAAAGGCGGTGGCAGAAATAGCATAAGTCTTATTGATAGAGGAAGTTGCAGAACAGATCAAGAATCTAAAGCAACAATAGCAATGGGAGCCTCCAAGTTCAGGTTGGTTGAAGCTAAACTGCGATGGTGCATTTGACAAAGCCTCAAATGAAGCAGGAATTGGCGTGATTATAAGAGATGACAATGGTCGAGTGGTGCAGGGATGCAACAAGACGATCAAGGCTAAATCTGCAACTTGTGCTGAGGCTTTGGCGGTCTATGAAGGACTGAAACTAGCAAGGAATATAGGGGCTCAAAGGTTAATAGTTGAAACCGACTGTCAGTTGGTATATCAGAATGCTATATCCATCAGAGATAGATGTTGGGAAATCGAGCCTATTTCAGAAGATATCAAGAACCTACTCAAAGATTTTCAACAGAGCAAAATGAGATGGATTAGTAGAACCGCTAATCAAGCTGCAGACTGGGTTGCCTGTCAAGCTCGAAAGAAGATGTGCCCGGAAGGTTGGGTTGATCAACCCCCATCTTCTCTTGTCTATATTCTTAGTAGAGATGGCCTCCCAGCCCCACCACTTTAATTTTAGCTCTGAACCCTTTCTACAAAGGGAGATTTCATACCTGTTTTCTCTGATTGTAGTTGAAGTATCTTCATTTAGCACTTCTGTTTGTAAGTTTCGTCCTGGTACTTACCACTTTATGAATGAAATTTTGTTTCAGGCAAAAAAAAAAAAACTCCAACCAATCGAGGAAGCTAGCCTTGTAACATTGGGTTAGTTAGATATATGCAGTCAACATATGCAATTTCATGTAACTGAATGATCCAAAATTGTTTCCTTAATATTTAGTTGAATATATTTGAAGTTGCAATCAAATTTGTTTTTTATTTGAAGTATATGACAAATAAAGTTTCGATTAAAAATGACAATCATCAAACTTGGTTCACATAATTATAAAGACTAACTTGTGCCTTCAACTTGATACACAAAATGAGCAGGCACAACCTATAATAAGAATCGAAGAGCTAAGATTGGGGAACATAACTAATTACCTGAAGGGGAAAATACCTGCAAATTTATAATTATTACCACCAATAATGCAGTTCTTTGGACTATTCCAATCAATAATCATTAAAAAGTATAATCAATAATGAAATTATGCAGATAAAAGAAATTGAAAGAGCCATAATGCAAAACAGATTATACATTGCCATGTCTAAGTTCATGATGATTTTAGGACATTGATATCACAAATATAAAGCGTTCAAAGGTTCTTGAGAATATGTTGTTACCAGGCTAAGGAGCAGCCTTATGCCATGTTGCCTTGCTCCTGCAATGACATAATTCAAGGCCTATCAGAACGCAAAGTTTTTAAAGATAAACAACAATAATCAATTGGAAGAACATGATAAAAACCCATTTAATGATTCCGGAATTTTCCAGTAAGAAAATTAAAAATTTCTAAATCAATTGAAAACCATAAACAAATCAGGAAGAAGAAAAAGAATCACACTTAAAAACTGAAAATCAAAGGCGGAGATGCCTAATTAGACCTGCAAAAAAAGAAGATGGTGAAATGGGGAAAAAACATGAGATTTATTAAACAAAAAAAATACAGAATTCGAATAACAAAGAAGAGAAGATCTTTCAAAAAGAAATAATGGGAAACGAACCTAATTGTTGAGGGAATGAATTGTCTCTGTTTTTTTTTTAAAAAAAAGAATAAAAAAGGAAGAAGTGGCAACGGAGGAGAAGGTCAGAAAAGTGGAGGGAAGGAGAAAAAGAAGCTAAAGAATACTATGAAGATGAAGTAAGGAAGAAGCATCAGAGATGAGAGAGAAAGAGAGGGTGAGGACTGAGGAGACAGAAGAGAGGGAAGAATGAAGAAAAATCGAGAGATAGAACGGGTAGAAGCAGAAAGGAGACTGAGGAAGAATCTAATATAAACGAAATTCATTGAAAAGGGAAAAATCACAAATCATATTAGGGCAGAAAGAATTCAATTAAGTGAAAATCATAACAGGGCAAAAGGAATTCAAATAAGTGAAGGAGTCAAGAAACCAAGTAACAGAGAAAAAGGAAACGCAGGGGGAAAATGGAATTAAACAAATTAAAGAAATTCAGTAAAGGAAGTACCGATAAAGGAGGTGAAAGGAACCTCGAAACGAAAAAAAAAAGAAAGAAAGAAAGAGCAGAGAAAATTGAAGAAGAAGAAGAGACATGAGAAGATAAAAGAAGAAAAATGGGGGAGAAAAAAGAAAAGGAATAGATAGAAGTTCAAGAGACAGAGAAAGTTGGGATCAAAAGGACTAAGAGAAAAAAGCAGATTTTTATGAGTTATGAGGGAAGAAGAAGAAGAGGAAGAAAATCTAGAGATAACAGAGAAGGAGAACAGACAACGATAAAGGGAAAAGGAGTGGAGAAAAATAAAAGCAAAAAAAAGAAGCTTCTAGAACCGGTGAGAACAAATATCTGAAACCAACTCAGTTCAATTTTTCTCTGTTCAATCCGATCAGATTTAAGCCAAAATCCTTAGGACTCAGCATACTAAAACAGGGGAAACCAAACAGATGAACAGAAGGGAGAGAGACGGAGGGAAAAAAAAACACGCATCGCACCCATATTTCGCCAAAAACAGCGCAAAAGACAAAACTACCCCCACTCAACAGTGCAACACAGGAGGCCAAATTAACCTTGTTTAAGAATACATAATCCTGATTTGTCATTTTAACTTCCCAAATAGTAGGTGGTTTATAACATCTCAACTGTTCGAGACTTCTCCCAGATATACTTATTTATAGATTTAGGGTGTGTTTAGTAGACCAGTACACCACCGCTGGTCCACTGAAGCCTTAAGTGTAAAAATCACCAGCACCGTTTGGCCTACGTGGCCCACTTGCCCTCCAATTGAATCAGCAATTTTCCGTTAGAACAAAATGCTCCAGCGAACTGATTCACCGATATGCCCTTTACTTTAATTTCTTTTTATTGGCTTTTTTCTTTTTGTGATACTTTTTTGTCTTCTTGTGCTATGCCCCCTTTCATTTGCTTTTTTTTTTCTGTGATACTTTAGTGTGACTGATCGTGTCGTCTATGACCATAAAAATAATCCCCACAATAAACTAACTAGAATAGCTAGGGCAAGTAGGGGTCAAATCCCACAGAGAAGGTTTATGTGATGAACGATAAAAAGAAAGAAAGATCTTTTCCAAAAATCAAATAGAAAACAGGGGATTGTAAATATCAATTATAAAGAAAACAATTAAACTAAAAATCAAAGCAAAGCAAATTAAATCTAAATCTAAAGCAGAATATAAAGCAAACAATAATTATAAAGCATACTTCTTCTCCAATGGTATGATTCAATCAGATTAACTATGGATCCTCGATTTAAAAGGTGAATTAAGCATCTTATTCTTGACTGACAACTGATATAGGTTTCCCAACATGTATTTTAGATAAGAGGCCGATTAAAGCTGCAGTTATCCCTTTTATTCCTTCAGCAATCGATTACTTTCTTAGGGCTTAAAGATCACTTAAGAACAAAGCATTAAGATCAATTAATTTTACACACATGTCTACAAAGTAGAACCATACGAAGAGAAATTTCTCGCCCTCCGATAGACAAATACCCATTAAGCAGCGATTAAACAAACCTAATTTGCTACATACAATCAAACTTGAGTGATTAATTCTAAGCTTGATCAAGCCATAGACCTTCCTCTTACATCGTTAGTGGCCACATAACTCAAATAAGATTCAGGATCATAAAATTATTTTAGGGTTTTGACTACTATCATCAAAAACTTAACACAAAATTATAAGTATAGAAATCTCACCATAATCAATTGATTGAATTCACCAAAGGATCAGAAGTATTAAGGATTTAGCTACTCATGGACTTAGGAAAATCCATGAGAGGCATAAGAATGCTTACAGAGATAGGGAGGAACGATTTCTCCCCCTTGAAACCCTAGGGACGTCGCACCCCTCTATGGCTAGAGAGGGTATCGACTTCTCCCTTTTCTAAAACTAGAGAAAAACCTAAAAACTAAAGAAAGGTAGAAAAAGAAAATTATCTATCTAGTGTAGAATTGTGTAGTATGTGATTTGTGATACAGGAGTTGGCTATTTATAGTGGAGGAATAGGGTAAGACGGTTTAGGCTCTGACTTAGGCTCCAAGTTGGATTAGGTGTCATCCTAGAGTAGAATCCAAGTCAAAATAGGATCCTGGAACTTTCTCGAATCTGGCAGTAACTTCGACTTGATTTTCGGGCTTGAAGATGGCAGATCTGGGTTTTGCACTTCAAAAGAAAGTTGTAGAGCTCGGAGTTAGCTTTCCAACGGCTACTCATGGGCTTAAAAATGACATCTAAGCAGAAAGTTATGGTCTTTCTACGAAGACTGCGCTGAAACCGGGCTTATATCGCAAATCTGCGGAATTATTGCGGGATTTGGATATTTTTTGGATATTAGGCCTACAAATTGGGATTTTAACTCCAATTATAGGTTTATATGGGCTGAGTATATTCCCATATAAATAATCCAAAAAATCCTCAACTTCAGGGCTTCTTCTGGACTTTGCTTCAATCCTTTGCAAATAAACTCCAAATCTTCAATTTTTACTTCTTGAATTAATTCTTCAATTGTCTTCAAATCTTCAAAATATCTTCAATCACGAACTTTGCATCTTCAAATCTTCATTCCAAATGACTAAATCCATATTTGAATAAAAAGTCTCCAAAATAGCTCCAAAAAGAGTAAAAAACAATAAGTTTTCACTTTTCTTGTCTTCAGGACTTAAAAACACAAATACTAGCAAAATAGGGTAAAAACACATATAAAAATAGCAAAAATTATATAAAAATAGCTATAAAAATATGCATAATTTTAGCTCGATCATAATTTCCCCCACACTAAATCTTTGCTAGTCCCTAGCAAACTAGTGTAGACAAACAAAAATTAAGATTTAAGATAGTAAGTCTTATTCAAATCTTTTGAAAAAGTTTGAATCATATACATATATCAAGGATCAATTCAATTTATGAGATCAGAATAACAAAGAATATTAAGAGTATCCAATTCAATAGATCAAGATATAGCAAGCATCCTCATTCTTAAGTAACCATAATCAAAGTAGCTCTAATCACTTATCATTCATTACACCTATAACTACTTCTTTCTATAAGCTTATGCCTCATCTTTATCTCTACTACTCAAACGATTGCATATTATGAATACAAATCAAGAATTTCGCATGGGTTATAATGATTTTCAAAGGGTAATTATTTTTAGAAAAAGTGAGGTTACTAACCTCAAAGTATTCATGCTTAGGGGTTACTAACGCCCTTTATTTTATTTTTGTGAGGCTACTAGCACTCTAGAGGTAATACTTCTGCCGATCCATGCCTCTTATCCTCTTCCCAAGGGTTACTAACTCCTTTTGTTTAAAGAGAAGAGTGACAACAATGGATTTTTTTAAATTTTTAAGACAAAAGATATCTCTTCTCCTCTTGCATAAAAAACACTCTTGTTTTTAAGAAAAAGATTTTTTTTAACTACCCTTCTAATATAGATAGTC